TATGATGGACCATAGTCTGGTGGACCCATTCCGGACCTTGCACCCGAGCAGAAAAGCCTTCTCCCTAGTGAAAGAGAACCATGCACAACACACAGCCTTCTCCCGAATCGACTACTTTTTGACTTCTGAAAGTCTAATGGGTGCTATCAAGGAGACTGACATCCTAGCGCTTGCATCCTACACAGGACTGGACCACAAACCAATTGAGCTAATCTTCAGCTTCGACCAATATATCACCGAAGGGTCGAGCTTCCATAAGTTAAACAACTCCCTGCTCCTGAGCAGGGTCTTTCGAGAAGGAGTACAAGAATGCTGGGAGAACTTGAGAGGCACGTTTTTAGAAGGGCAAGACCGATGGGAATGGTTTCAAAACAGTTACCTCTCACAATCCCAATCGGTAGCCCGTCTGCCCAGGAAACTGGCCAGGGACAGAAAGGCAAGGAAACAATCATTGAAAATTGCGCTAAAGATTGCAGAATCCAATCTTATAGATCATCCCTCCTCAACTCTCTACTCAGCTACATTCGAACACGCAAGAGAAGAACTAGCTCTATGGAGACAATGAGAATTGAAAGGACTGCAGCTAAGAGCACGAATGACAGATTATGAATTGAATGAGTCGATGACCAAATACTTCTTTGCTAGGATAAAAGCAAACCAAAGGTCGAGTTCAATAGAAGGACTCAAAGAACCCTCAGGGAACCAGGCGAAGAGGACTGACAGTGAGGGAATGCTGGAAATTGCCCAAGGGTTTTATAAAGAGCTATATCAGACTAAGACAGCCTCCACTCCCCCAACGTGAGTAAGAGAAGCCCGATCCAAAATGCTTCAGTTCTTAGAGAAAATGATCACAACAGAGCAAGCTACAAATTTGGACAAACCAATCACCATAGAGGAATTAAGAATGGCAATTCAATGCATGAATCACGATAAGTCTCTCGGAATTGATGGTCTAACCAAGGAATTTTGGGAACAGGCATGGCCGTTGATGGGGACAGACCTTCTCCACTTTTATCAGGACAGTTGGGAAAAAGGAGGAATGGGAGAACTGCTGAGCAGCAGCGTTGTAACCCTTCTCTACAAAAAAGGGGACCGGGAAGACATCCGAAACTACAGACCAATTTCCCTACTTACCCTTCCCTACAAAATCCTGGCTAAAGCACTGGCTCTGAGAATACTGAACATCACAGATAAATGCCTCCACATAGACCAAGCTGGCTTCATCCCAGGAAGGTATATACTAGACAACGTCCTCACGCTAAATGAAGCAGCAAGAAAAGTCAAAGAGAAAAGGCTGAACACCGCAATATTATTCTTCGACTTTGAAAAGGCCTATGATCAAGTGAACTGGGACTTTTTAGACGCTAGTATGGAGAAAATGGGGGTGGGACCCAACTTCAGAAAGTGGGTCAGGATCCTCTACAACGATGCATCAGGATGTGTACAAGTGAATGGGTTGTTATCTGACCGCTACAAGATTTCCCGTTCAGTGAGGCAAGGCGATCCCCTAGCCCTGCCGATCTTCCTGTTTGTAATGGAAGCCATACCATCGTTCTTGCGAAAGGACCCCACAATCCACAAGCTTCCAGAGCTTAACACCTGCTCACCCCACCATATACAGTTCCCTACAGTAGTAATGTTTGCTGATGATCTCACCGTCCTAATTCGAGCTTCCGACTCCTCAGTAAGAGCTATAGTCAGGGCAATGGAAGCGTTCAGGTTAGCTTCGGAAATGAAGATCAACTGGAAAAAAATGGTGGGATGGTGGCTGTCGGAGGAGGAGCTACCCCTTATGACAGGCCCAGAAGCAGAAATGACATGAGAGAGACCGGAGGAACCGACAAAATACCTAGGAATCATGGTTACCAAGAAAGGTCCATCCCCACAAATGGCACAAAATCTGTTAACGAATCAAATCAACAGAATGGGCAGATGGGGAAATACGTTCACTTCACTAATAGGACGAGCCTTGACAATTAATACGTCCATATTTTCAATGATGTGGTACATAGCCTCCATCTGGGTCATACCAGATCCAACCATCAAGGAACTGAACAGCAGAGCGAGAGCATACCTCTGGGCAAGCGATCCAAACAAAACAAGGTACATCCCTAAAATAGCCTGGCACTTTATAACCAGAAGTCCGTCAAAAAGGGGTCTAGGGATAATTGATCCCAGACAAGAAACTAAGGCTCTACAGATCAAAAGGGTAGTAAAACTGCTAACCCAACCCAGGCTGGCATGGCACAAACTTGCCTTGGATAGTATCAGAGGCTTAGCCCCAGTTCAGACCCCAGACAATATGTCAGGCCTCTTCTGGGTAGTGAACAAGGACTGGGCGCTGAAAACTGGGAGAAGGAGGCTCCGAGTAACCTCACAGCAAGACGAGAGGTACAATCCCCCACACCTTACTGGAAGGCACTCATTAGGATATGGAGAGAAATAATGCCTAAACAGGTGAAGAAACCCAAATCTAAAGAAGAGGTGTTGCGGCAGCCTCTATTCGGTAACCAGAACGTTACAGACGCAGGTGATCACCCACTGTCACTAGCCGGAGGCCAGTGATGGCTCTCCTGGATTAGACATGGGGTTTGGAAGGTAAGTCACTTCTGGGACGAAGAGAAAAAGGACTGGATTGACGAGAACCAGCTACAAGCCCGCTTAAAGGGCTGCCACCGCCGGGATGAGAACTTGGAAACGCTTGTCAATTGCATCCCGGTTAGATGGAAAGAGCCGTTGAAGGAAGACTTCTTGTGGAAAACAGGGGAATGGGGAGTGCTGAAACAGGAAACAATACCTGCAAGAGCCTACCAATTCTACCGCAGATCTCCTACCTCGGCCCAAGGAGTCTACACATCCTTCCCCATAGATCGATCCAACCCCACAAGAAGTAACGCTGAACTCCTACACCCTCAGAAAGGTGAGAGTAGTGCGAAGCTGGCCGAAAACTATATTCCATACCGACACAGCAATCCAGGACCTTGAGTTCGACCCAGAAGAATGGGCCTGGCTCTCAGAAACTAACAGATTCTGCAAGAACCACATCAAGATAACACCGTACACAGTCAAGTTGGGATACAGAAAGCTTCTAAGAACCAAAGACCCCGAGCCAGTAATCAAAGAAAGATGGTCTCAATTGCTTGGACAAAGAATGGAACCAATTTCTGAACTCCCTTGGCGGAAGTACAAGTCAATTCGGCCAGTGAAGATCAGAAGCCTCCAACGGTTGATCACCTATCGCGCCCTTCCAGTAAACGTCTGGCTACACACTCGAAGGAAAGATAGCGTTCTGGACAGCTCAGAGCTCTGCCAGGTATGCTCAGATAACGAACAGGAAGACATAATACACTGCCTGATTACATGCAAACTCGCCACTGACTTGTGGGCAAGAGCTGCAGCGCTCTGGGACTACTTATTTCCCTCCCCCTTACCTGAACACCCAATCCAACTTCTCTTATGGACTAACACCTCCACTCTCTCTGGCAAATCGGAACGCGTCTGGTTCGGGATAATCAGGAAAATTACACTGTGGGCCATCTGGAAGGAGAGGTGCAACAGAACAGTTGACAGGACTACCACTCCGGCCGACCAAGTATGGGCAACAACGAAGCTGCTGATGGAAACCGACATCCGATGCCGATGGAAGAAAGTCAAACTCCAAGCTCAGCAAAATCCAGAGAAACAGCAAGAGTTAATATCCAACTTCAGGAGGGTATGGCTGATCCAGGGAAAGATAGCCGAGACCCAGGATCTACAAATCAGATGGAAGGACTGGCACAACTCAACGACTCCCCAGAGAATGACAACTCTCGACCAGGAAGAACGACTGGAATTCAGGGCTACATAAGACGCTGCTCAACTCAGACTGCCGCTCTTTGTATTTCTCGCCTGTACCAATCTGACAGACTCTGGCTGAGGGACCGGAGAGAAAATTCAGAGAAAGGCTACCTGACAGCCCAGGCTGATCAGGGATTATTAGACCAGATGAAAGGTGGTGTGGTTGAGTCTCCGATGTAAGCCGGTTATATGTCTTGTTGGAAGGAAAAAAGGAAAAAAAGGAAAAATGGTCCCGAAGAATTATAAGGATGTGGATTTTGGATATCGAGTGGGGGTTTAGGGTTTAGGGTCTTCAAAAAAAAAAAAAAAAAAAAAGCAAAGACGCCCCGGCCAGGTTCCAAGTTTGATGATCGGAGGATAGGAAAGCAGGCTGAGGGTTTAGGACTTAAGGTTAAACGGTTTGTCCATCCAAAGGGGGGCAAAGAGGTGTATGGGGAGGGACCAGGTTGTGTAAGGATAACAGATGCGCTCTTTCTAGGGTCAAAGGCATTATTTGACAGATCTGGAAGCCGGGTCTGAGAGGAAAGAGAGGGACAAGGCAAGCTGACAGTCAATCCTCCCGCGGTGTAGCAATCAATGCTGCTCAGGGGTCCTTCGGCCTGACGGAAGGAAGCGTGGGTATTTGACTTGCCAATGGAATAGGAACCGGACTGACGCTCCCCAGAATAGAAGGAGCCAGGACCATAAGGCCGTGTTTGGTTGGAAAAAAAAAAAAAGAGGAGGAGATGAGGAGGAGGAGAGTGGTTGGCGAAGAAGGGAATTCTCATTGGTCTTTGCTGGTTATCTTCTTCTTCTTTCTTTCTTCTTCTTCTTCTTCTTCTTCTTCTTCTTCTTCTTCTTCTTCTTCTTCTTTCCCTCTCTCTCCTCACAAGTTCTTTCGTTTCTTTTGCAATTGGACGGCATTGTACTTTCTGATGAATGTGTTCTCCGAAATTGGCCAGGATCATAACATCCCTGTCTTAGACCACCCTTTCCTTGTCACTCATGTTGGTTATTTGTCCTTGCTGCATCTCCCTGTAGCTATGGTTCTCAACTTGTCCTGCTGTCCATACTTCATGTTTCATAGTAGCTACTTCTGACAACTTTTAGGGAACATGCATTTTTGCACATTTCGACCAACCGTGTGCTTTTGTTGTATTTTCACTCCAAATCTCTTTTTACAGGCTGGTCAACAAGGTCAACAAGTCTATTGGTCAGGACCCTCACTCGACTGTTCTTATAGGTGTTCTGGATATCTATGGTTTTGAGAGCTTTGAGATCAACAGGTATGATCGAGTACTGGGAAACGAGTGCTACCTTCTATGAAATAGATGAAAACTTTTCTATCATTCACAATGTTTTTCCCATTCCTACAATGTTTTTCCTACACTGTGTGTACGTGCCATGGACTGGATAATGCAGCATTAAGGACGGTGCAATGAACCCAGTCTGATGAGAAGCTCATAAATGTCAAAATACAAGTGTGATACAGCGCAGCATCAATGTCTCCAAAAGTCGATTATTAAACCATGCCCGTCAAACATGTAGTCTCCCAATGTCTCAATCTCAGAGAAGAGACTGAGGAGAGAGGGAGAAAAGACTCAGAGGAGGAGGAGGAGTGTTTCCACAAGAACCAACGAAGCAGACTCCGCCCCTCTTCAAACCCACTTCCTCCTCGGGTGTCTCCCTCACTCACCACGTCAGCATTACAGTTCTCCCCTGACGATCTCTGACATATACAGTGGACAGGTCACAGCAGGGAACCCATCCTCCAGCCATGTCAGCAGCAATCAAGGAGGATGGCGCAGATCTTCCTCTTGGAGACAATCAGCGAAGCACACGCAACGTCACAGGTAAGTCCGGTAAGCTTCTCGTTATCACTCACACCAATCTCACAGTCCAAATCCTCCTCCTCCTCCTCCTCCTCGCCCACCTCCTGTTAATGTGGAATCAACGTGGCTATGGCCACGTCAGCATAATCACCTGCAAGGCTGGCACCTTCACTAACTATCTGGCGCCAGCATAAAGCTCCAGCAGCCTTGCGTCGTCACACCAGCATCAAGCCAGGGCCAGGCAGAATGCACATGACTGAATGCCCTGAAGCAGCAGCTGGGTCAACTTATACTGTTGACTCACGTTGACCAGCCTCAGGTCTCCCGGGATCGATGGCCCTGATCAATCTGAAACCAATGGCCTGGATGCTGTACAGTTACAGATTTCCCACGTGTCCCACGTGGACTGAATTCTCCTGGATACCTGCAGACAATCAATGATGCGCATCTGACCTATGGCCTTGGCTGACCAGCGGGTTGACTTTGACCTCTGGGCTTGGACCCGTGCTGGGGTTGATCATTGACTTTCTCAAAGTCAGCTGTTCCCCATAGTGCTGCTGAATGCTGGTTTTGGCCCTCCCCTGGGTACCCCTCGGCCTTAGGCCCTTGGCCAGACCCTTCTTAGGGGCATGACTTTTGATCCCGTTGTCGGGCCTTTGACCAACAGTGATGACCTAGAGCCCACAGCTTATGCAGATTTGAGTCAAGTTATTGCCATTCCATCCGGCCCGATTTCGAGTTCCATCGCGTCAATTAAATACCTTTCAGGCTCAGCTTTCTCTCAACCCACACTTATGGGCTGCAACAATGTCAGGTACAGTAGGTAACAATTATTTTCTACTAAACCATTGTGCTTGAGATACAGGTTGGCTAGAAAAAAAATACCTTGTACTGCTTCTGATGGTCTATTTGGAAGCTTTTAGACGCATGGAAGACTGGGTACATCTTCAAGTGTGTGGGTATATCAATGCGGTAGGAAGGTCCACCGGTGTCCTCGATAACTTTGAGAACTTCCCAGGGTTCGAAATAGACAGGCAACAGTTTCCGAGTTATGTTTTCTTCCAAAGAAAATTCATTGGACTTTACCCAAAGTAAATCACCTTCTTAAAGTCACCTTCTTAAAGGTGACTTGGAGCCCCCGAAGTTTAAACTTTCTGGAATGTCCGACTGGAGGCGCAGCGCTTCCAGGAGCGCTGCGCCCCGCCAGGTTGGCACTCTCATGCGGGCAGCCCTGTGGCGCCCTACAGGTTGGAAACACGCGAGCACGAAGTGGCGCCTGGGTATGACGTGGACAGTGCTGGTGTGTCGGCGCCTTGGTGATGGGGTTGTGATGAAGTAGAGATCGTACAGCGGGAGGGCAGGAGGATGGAGCGGTGACTCGGTGTTGCCTGCCTTTTGAAAGCATTTCGGTGCCATCTCCAGCTTTGCACTTCATCCAGTGGTGTTACAGGTTAGCACGTTGGGTGAAGGGGAACTTGCCTTCGACAGGAGGTGGGTCTCCTTGAGAAGTTCAGCCTTCTTATGGCTTCTGCTCCTTGGTCTGCGTAGTGTTGTGGTAGGCGGTTGGTATGACGCGGACGGAAAGGAGGAGCGCGTGCTTACGTGGAGTGGGAGGAGGATTGGAGGCGATATCGAGTGCGTCGTTTTTGGTTTTTTGTGTACATCTCTGTCATCGGCGGCACTCTCGCTGATCACCACCAGCACCAGCCTCGGCATCATTATCATTAGGGTGCTGCTTGTCACCATCCTCAGCAACAGGGCGTGATTTGACATCATCATCACGGTAATGTGCAAGGAACATGAATATGGACGAAGCACAGAAATCCAGAATGCAAATTCACACTGAAGTCCATGTAGTCAAAGCCAAAGCAGATAGCACAATGGAACCGAGTAACCATCCAATTGAGAATGATACAGAAGAATCGTGAGTCAATGTCCATGCCCAACAGGGCAACACCAACAGCATAACCCAAATGTAGCTCTCTCTTGTGAATGGCGCCAGGCGCCCTATCTRCYCTACAKCCTATCCYACAACTACAGCWAKKAAAGCAACCARACAACTTGACTACCASCGAGTGATRATGTCAACACCAATGCCGACCTCCACCTCCACCAGGTACGTGTCCTCTTCACCCACACTCTTCCCTGTTACCCACACAGCGCCCTTCACCTTCGAAGAACCACCTTCGCCCTTCACCCCTCTGCGCCCTCTGCAGCCCGGCTATGGCCGCCAAGCGCCCAGTGCACAGGCAGCACCCTACCGCCTAGCGCATGCCTGCCTTGCACCACTTCTTAGCGCAGTGCAGCAGCCAGCAGCAGCTCGCATTAGCGCAGCGTGCCGGCATTGCCCGCAATGGCCAAGATCCCTGCCCACTCACCCTGCTTGCCTATATGCCAGTGCAGCATGTGGGCAGCCTCCCTTCAGCCTGCAACCGGGACCCAGAGGCTGAACCCAGCCCGATACAGTTGGGCCCCGGGGCAATGCAGTTGCGCCTCCTTCATCAAGGCCTGCGGCCAGATTCAGATAGTGGGCCATTGTCAGCCTCACGTTTGAGTGCCAGGGCCTAACTAACTCAGAGGCCCTGGGCTTTCAGCATTTACTGAAATCCGAGACTCGGTGCACTCCGACCAACTGGCGTGCTGCAACTGTATGGACCCCACTTCGTGAAATGTTGGCACAGAAAGCTCTTGTTGATTTGCTGGCCCGCCTTCACTTAGGGCGGCCACGAGGCTTACTGGGGCCTTAGCCCAGAACATGCTCATCATGGCAAGGCCCCTACTTGAGGGCTCAATCCTCACATTCCATCCCCCTTAGCTTCGAAACTCCGTTGAGATGCTTACTTCGCAGGTGCCTTCCCTTTCAGTAGCCTCTCATATTCTGCCACCACCTGAGGAGCTGTCTCAATCAGTTCCTCCCTGGTAAACCATCGATCTTCTTTCGGATCCGTATGATGCCTGAATCTGACACGGTACTCTCTCTTGGGTTTAGGAGGTCTTCCTCGACCGAGCGGCTTCGGAACAGGCATATCCCTGTGATCCACAATGTCGTCGGTGTCCACTTGTCCATCCATGGTTGGGGGCAGCATCGATCTCCTGGATGGGAATTGATCTGTCTCAGCGAAAGGTGCAAGCTTTGAGGCATGAAAGACTGGGTGAGTGCGTAGGTGTCCAGGGACACGAATGACATATGTGGGACCATCCATCTCATCTCCCA